CTGTGTCACTTGAAATTAGTGCCATGTGCCTGGATCCCTGTGGCTTAGGATTATGGAATGAATAGCATCGAACACTATACTATTCTTTAATCAGGTCTTTGCTTGAATTCAACTGAATAATAATATAAATAAATATCTTTATTATTGTGTCACCTTCTTTTGTGTGACTGGTGAGACAGAAATTCAATAACTGAAGGTGCTGAAGGGCACCCACCATGCCATTCTGGTTATTCCTTTTATTGTAATAGACCTCTGGATAGTTCATAAAGAGTTAGAAAAGAGAAACCTGTTAGCGGGAGCATTGGTTGTAATCTGTGTTTTTGATTATCAATGACAGGATCCTAAAATTACACCCAAATATCTCTCAGAGGTTCTGAAATTGAGTTTCTGAAAAGCACTGTAGAAGTAATAGAAGGTAAAGTGCAGAGTTCCAGAGAAATGAGCTGTGAATTGAACCTGCAATGGAAATTGATCCTATCAGCCAGTTTCTGCCCTATTCGTAGAAAAACAGGACTGAATGTAGAAGGAGCCAGGATCACTGATTAAATAGGATGCTAAAGTGCTGGAGGCTAGAGCTGGGCTTGCTGGTCCCTCAGGTCAGGACTGCAGCTATCAGCCTTCTCTGCTTGAATCCTGGCTCACACTGGCAGAAAGAACAGAATGAAAAATGTTGTTGGCGCCAGCGGGGAAATCAGTAAGAACTCTCTGACTATGCTGCAGGCGTGACAGCCACTGCTTTCCAGTGGGAGGCCAATCTAGTCTCTTATCTTGAGTCAGTGGACCCATATTGGCGTGGCTGTCCTCATGATTCATGCCAGTGGGACCTGTCATGATACTCATTCCAGAGTGGGCAAAGGGAGAGGGTAAAGAGACATGAACTTAATATCTCTACTGGCATCCTCAGTAGCTTCTTAGAACGGCAAGGAAACAGAAGCAAATATACTACAAGTAGTGGTCCTGTGAGCATAATTTATTACCCTGTTATCTATCTCTGAGAAATTTACTTTGTGCATATAGAATGGTGATAAGAATATGCCAAGTATTCTTTGGCAGTGTTTATATTCCACTCTCATAAATACCATGTAAGTTGTAATTAGCCTACTGAAATTGCACATTTCTGGTTATGAGTTTCCATTTATTTCCTGCAGTGCAATATACCTCTACAATGATGCCCTTCAAAGTCTTCAGAAATCATCAGTCTAACTCAGAGCAAATGTCCCTGTGGAATGCCACATTCAGTTGGCACACTAATACAAATACAAATGGTTCAAGCAGAAAATTTGAAGACAAAAGTACTAAAAATGCTACTTTAAGATGTAACCATTCTAAACCATTGCTGGGTCAGAACTCAGATTTGCAGAATGGCAGAAGAAAAGGAAAGATGAAATCTGGCATTCTGCTTAGCTGAGTTGAAAGGAGTGTCATATTCACTTAGTCATTCCCTTAGCCTATCATACCATAGTCAAAGGAGGATATTATCACAGGTCTGTGGTGGAACAGGCCATTCAGTTTATGTTATTGGGTGTATCTGTGTTCTAGGAGCCATTCTGCCAACACACTTAACTCTTGCCTTCAGGCCCAGGCAAGAAAAAATGATGGTCATCTAAAGTAAGTCACAGTACCTGGGACATGCTGTTGTATTTAGGAATCTGAGTCAACATTGCATTCATTCCATCCCTGGGATATGATTCAACTCTGTCATAGTGATATCAGTATATTCAGAGACTTAACATAGATGTACTAATAGAGGCAAAGGCCCATAGGAGGCCCAATGGAAATACTCTTGTAAAAACAGGCTTCTGTAAAGTAGCTTTACTTTGGTTAATAGAGAACTTGAAGATGCAGTCAGGGAGCACAAGACTGTTTTCATCCAGGATTTAGACTTTATACAGCCTCTATCTCTAGTTTGTTAATTACTGCTCATGACAATAGAGACTTCAAAACCCCAGTCATGTAAATGGTTGTTTTGTGCTAGGCTTAGTTATCTTACTTGGTCAATTATGGCAAGTTTGAGACATCATTTTACCATGATGGAATTCTAAGAGGTAACACCAGAGAGGAAGGGAGCATGCAGTGCAAGAAAACTTGACCAGTGGACAGAGAAAACCCTTTGTTTTTTAATCTTGGGGCTTAATGCAAGTGTACATTTTTGTGGCTAAGAAAAGCTAAAATGATGCAGTCTAATTCATGCAGTGGAAAGTACTTTTCTACTGAAATTAAGTTAGAACTACATTACTTGTTTAAACTGATATCGGAAGCATTTAGTCATTTTTTAGTAAAGTTGATGAAAACCTTGGGAAAATGCTTTAGAACAGTTCTTTTGGAGACCTATGATTAGTAAGGAAAAGGGCAAAGAGACACATATTAATCTGTTTGTATATAAAGGATCTGGAGCTTATTAAAAGTTTTTATAAGCATTAAATTAATGAAGCATTATGTAAAACTAGACATTTTCTTTAAATTTTATAAAGTCACTAGCCTGGAAAAAACCTTCAATGTTATTTCTAGATAATTTATTTATGATATTTTCCCTACCACAAATAATTCAAATATTAGAAAAAAATAATTTAGTAATAAAGAACATTCCATGAAAATGCCACTAAGAATTCCCTGGGGAACTTTTCATCGCAGTCCTCCTTGGTTCCTAGAGTTATAATAGGATAGTGTAGCATGAATGAACATTATTAACCTCCTTTTATGGCTTGAGCAGATGCCTAGCAGATAAATTCCGTCTCACACATATAAAATCAAAACATTATTTCACCTGAAATATTTTCATTTGTTTGCAGTCACAGAGGAAATGGGGTGATTTTAAGTTCTCTCCGGGTCCTAAATGGTGAAGAAAGCAAGGAATTTATGAACACAAGGAAATCAGGAATGAGCTTCCTTAAAACCCCAGGCAAATTTCCAGTTAGCTCAGAGTAAATGTCTGGGGCAGCTCAACTGGAGAACATGGCCTGGACTCTCTTAGGCTGACCTGTAATGGAGTTGGGAGGAGAAGGAAGATGGAGTCTTCCCAGGTTTTTGTCCCCAAATTATGTACAAGGGACCCTTATTTTATACTTTTCGGTCATGTTTTAGGTGGGATTTTTTAGATATTTTTTAACATTCTCATTTCTTTTTCATGTGATTATTTTGGTAGAGACTGCAGAGTTGAGGCAGCATGTGTTTAGTGATCAGACAAATATGAATCCAAGAGCCACAGTCAAAGCTTGACCCTGGTCAAATTGTTGAACTGACTTTGGCCACAATTTTTTCTGCCATGTATTAGGAAAATTATTACTTAATCAACAGGATTATTTTGAGGAACAGAAGATGTATATTAGGCAACTCATACATAGTAAGTGCTATTATTTCTCAAGTTTTCAAGTTCGTTTTCCTTTACCAATGGCCAATCTTTTTATATTCATAAATAATGACAACAGTTTAGGAAAACAAAAATAAAAAGTATGGATCAAATGTGTTTATATACCAAAGCAGAACATTTCGGCTAGGTTCTCCTAAACCACCTGAAAGATAAACTTGTTAGAAAAGTGTATTGCATGTGGGCCTCCCTGGTGGCGCAGCGGTTGAGCGCTGGGTTGTGAAGCTGCCCGCAGCCTCTGCAGCGGTTCCATCCCCGGCTGCTCCCCGGCCACGGGAGGAGGGTCCCACATGGCGCACAGACCTCTCCTGCCGCCCGCTGCTCCCCTCAGCAGTGTATTTCGGTCCTTCTGCCTGCTCTGCTCCCCGCTCTGGCTCTGGTGAATTCTCTCACCCTCCCCAGCTTCTGACTGTACCCAGGGCTTGAATAAATAAATAAAGAAATAAACAAATCTTAAAAAAAAAAAAAGTGTATTGCATGTAATGAGTCTGATAAGAAAGTTTAAGCATTTTCTGCATATATCTTTCTTTTAAAATATTCAAAATCCTTTCATTGCCTGCATTTTATTTAGATTTCTAAGCTTGAACTCTGTAGCTTCCACTTGGGCAAAAGAATAATACTAAGAGGGCCTCCTAGTGGTGCAGAGGTTGAGCGCTGGGCTGTAATGCTGCCCACAGCCTCTGCAGCGCCGTTTCGATCCCAGGCCACCTGCGAGGGTCCCACATGGTGCACAGACCTCTCCTGCCGCACCCTCTGCTCTCCTCAGCAGTGTCTTCGGTGTCCTTCCTGTTCTGCTTCCCACTCTGACTCTGGTGAATTCTCTCACCCTCCCGTGTTTCTGACTGTACCCAGTGCTTGTATAAATAAATAAAAATAAATCTTTAAAAAAATAATACTAAGATATTGTCAGAGTTAGAAAAAAACAATTTTAGCATTGATCATGTGGAATTCTGTATAAATCACACCTCAAAATTCCAGAGTTTTCTCAGAAGTTATGCTCACTCATCTTTTTATTCATTTAAACTGAATTCTCAAACTTTTGTATTTTCCAATTACATAATTATAAATGAACTTTAAAAGGTAAAAAAATGCATCAATATATGTATCAACTAGCATAAAGATTGGCTTCATGTATTTGAAACACAGAAATAAAAACGTAATTCTCTATAATGAAAATTTTAGAAGTTGGCAGTTCTGAGCTGCCATGGTTGCTCAGTGGTTATCAGCTACTTTGGCTGCTTCTTCCTCATTCCTTTGAATTCTTAATGTTTAAATACATCATGGTCCATCATGACTACATGAGCTTCAAACAGATCTTCAATACAGCTAATAGAAAGGAAGAAGGAACAGATACAGTGAGTTCCTTCTTTTTAAGGACAACTTCCAGAAAGTGTTCTCACATCTCATCTTGTATGCCACTCACTGACACTTAGGCACATGGCCAGGTGTTGCTGCAAAAGAAGCTTGGCATTTCATTCCTTATTCTGTGTGTCTTTAAGCACAGTAAGATGTAGGGATTTAATTATTCTGGATGAAGATACAAGATATTGGGGACAACAGGACAGTTTCTGACATTTGGGCTTTATGAGAGTTTTTATAGTTCTTTCATGTCATTTTTTTTTTTTTTCCTAACTAGATCCCATGCGTGGCCCAAGGAAACTGGAAGTAGTAGAAGTCAAATCTCGGCAAATCACTATTCGCTGGGAGCCATTTGGATATAATGTAACTCGTTGCCACAGTTACAATCTCACTGTCCACTACTGCTACCAAGTAGGAGGTCAGGAACAAGTGCGAGAAGAAGTTAGCTGGGATACAGATAATTCACACCCTCAACATACAATCACTAACCTGTCGCCTTATACCAATGTGAGTGTGAAACTCATCCTCATGAATCCCGAAGGACGGAAAGAAAGTCAAGAACTTATAGTACAGACTGATGAAGATTGTGAGTACTTTGAAATTATGTTTATGTGAAATACATATTCTTTCTAAAAGGATGGTTTTCTTTCTTTTAAATTGAAATCTTTATAATGAAAATGGAAGAACTACTTACTGTATTAAATAGTACAAATGTATATTTGTGTTTCAGAATACTTAAGCACTGATTAAAAGAGGTAAAGGAAATGAAGATGTGGAAGATGAGTCATATAGTTACTTTTCCATATATAATCATACATTGCTCTAAATAGTTCTTTGTTCCAGTTTTATTATACGGGACTGAAGGGTTTGGGGTATTAGATTTTTATATGAAATGCTTATTTAAATACATTAATGGCATACTGAAGCATTTTTCACAGTTCAGATAGAAATTCAGCATGAAATAGAGGCTGCCCTTGCTTTTTAGCACAGTGCTGAGAAACTACCTCATTAGGTTAGCAGACATGAAATAAATCATATTTTCCCATAAGAAAAATGTTGTAATTGGATATTACCTTAATAAACAAGGATTTAATGAATAAAACATGCTACCAGTAACTCATCAAAAGCAGCAAATACACAATTGTAATAAACTTCTAAAATTATTTAAAATAGTAAAATTATACCTTGAATCCTATAGGTCAGTTAAAAATGTTTGTTTGCTCTGATTATACAGGAGACTCTCATGTACAATAATATGTTCATATAGCTCATAAAGTATAGCCAAGCATCAGGATAAGCAAGAAAGATCTTGAGAAGTTTTTTAAATGAATACATTTACTTATTTCTGGAAAAGAATAAAAGATACTTCATGTGGTATTTGACTATAACCTGAATTAAAAGTTAATAATAACACTTCATTGCTTTATTTAAAGAGCTAACAAAACTTTTGAGTGCTTATTACCTATGCACTATTGTGCATATTGCCATAGAAGAAAAGCATGGAAAAGCCAGAAAAATAAGATTATCTCACAACTGTCTTTTTTTCTTTTTACAGCCCCTCAAGTTCTACTTGTGTTTGTTTTCAAATAGTTGTTTTGGTGTAGTTATTTTTTTAGGAGTCTTAGCTTGACACAAGTTACTCAAACAGGAAGTCATTTCTGTTTCTTCCACCTCTTCCTCATTTTCCAGGAAAAAAAAGAAGCAGGTCAGCATTATCGCTGGACACTTCCTCCTCTACTTTTCCATATTTAATTTGATTCTAACACCTATTGTTTCCCCTTCCAAAATATTAGATTGTTCTTTTCTCTCAACTTCTACAAATTATATTCAATCTGTATTACTTTGTGTTGAAATTGCTGTAATAATTTTTTTTTTTAAAGATTTATTTATTTATTTATATAAACAAGCACTGGGTACAGTCAGAAGTATGGGAGGGTGAGAGAATTCACCAGAGCCAGAGCCGGGAGCAGAACAGGTAGACAGACGAAATACACTGCTGAGGGGAGCAGCGGGCGGCAGGAGAGGTCTGCGTGCCGTGTGGGATCCTCGCCCAGTGCCCGGGGATCGAACCAGCACTGCAGAGGCTGCGGGCAGCTTTGCCGCCCAGCACTCAACCGCTGCGCCACCAGGGAGGCCCTACTGTAATAATTTCTAACCCTTCTTTGTGATCCAGTTTATTCCCATTCTAATGACCCTCCCTCCCTCACTGACTAATCTTTCAAATACATTTGCACCATGTTATTCTCCCCACGAGAGCCTTCAATGACTGTATTCAAATCTTGACTTTCAAGGCCTTTGGTATTCTGGCTTATATTCTAGAACTGGTAACTTATCTTCCATGGCAACTCATGTTGTAAAGATGTTGGTCCTCAATGTTGGTCCTATGTGCCACACTTCTCACATCCTGGACTCTTCCTCACTGTCGGTTCTCCTTTGTTACCTGCCTTTCCACCTGGCTACTTCACAACACCATCTTTTTGGCTAACTTCCATTGTTCTCAACTTTCAGGTCTTTCATAAAGCTGTTCCAACTCTACCAGTTCATATTAATTTCATTCTAACCTATTTGCACGTGGTAATATCCTTAAATCTCTGAACTTCAATTTCCTCCTCAAAACCTTGAAAATACGGTCGATTCTCAGGCATATTAGGGTTAGGGGAAATTTATATAGACAGCTACCAGAGAAGGTCTTTTTATAAGTGATCATTATTATTGCTGTTGTAACAGTTCAAAATAACTCATTGTGACTCTTCCTTAATCTCCCACTATGTAATAAAACAGATACACTCATCATATTTGTCTTCATACTATGAGAAAACTGATCATGATATCATAAATAAACACATCCAAGGTAAAGTGAAAGAGACATAGTATTATTTCCTCTAATATGGCCCATTTTAGCTCAGTCTCTAATTACGATATACATTTTAGTCTCAGAGGATGGAACTTACATTTTCTTACATCTCACCAATGCCATTAGTAGTTAAAAATCTGTGTTTTTTATTGTTTGTCTGGATATAGTTTTTACATCAATTGGTTCAACCTATGTCAAACAATATTTTCATATTTATATCTTTGTTTTTTAAATGTTTTTGTATTTGTCCTCCTACATAGTTGTTTATTTGTGGACAACATTTTATTTCTCCCCTTAAATGTATCCTATGTAGTTCTCCCACTACCACAGCACCTGTGATCCATCACTACAGCCCCTTGTGGGTTTTTTTTTTTGTGTTTTTTGTTTTTTTTGTTTGTTTGTTGTTTGTTTGTTTGTTTCTTTGTTTGTTTGTTTTTGTGGGACCCTCGCCTGCGGCCGGAGAAACAACTGGTGCTACAGAGGCTGTGGGCAGCCTCGCAGCCCAGTGTTCAAGTGCTGCGCCACCGGGGGAGGCCCATGTGTTTTGTTTTTTTTTTTTTTTTAAGATTTATTTGTATTTATACAAGAACCAGAGTACAGGCCAGAGCACAGGAGGGTGAGAGGATTCACCAGAGACAGAGTGGGGAACAGAACAGGCAGACTGAAGAAATACACTGCTGAGGGGAGCAGCGGGTGAGACAGGAGAGGTCTGCTCGCCATGTGGGTTGCTCCTAGGCTGGCGGGGAGCGAACCGGTATTGCAGAAGCTGTGGACAGCTTCACAGCGCTGTGCTCAACTGCCTGCGCCACCAGGGAGGTCCCCCTTGTGTTTTTCCCTCCCCTGTTTTGACCCTCTCCCTCTGCCTCACTTGTTGTATGTCTCAGATCTTTGGTCAGCTTGCTTGTCTTGTCTTTTTCCTGGTCTTTTGTTTAGTTTCTCCATATTCCACATATAAGTGAAACCATCGAATATTTGTCTTTTTCCTTCTGACTTATTTTGCTTAGCATAATCCCTTCCAGCTCCATATATGTTGCTACAAATGGCATAAGTTTATCATTTTTGATAGCTGAGTAGTATTTCATTATGTATGTCATTATGTATATATACCACTTCTCCCTGACCCTTTTTTCAAGATTTATTTATTTATTTATTTATTTATTTATTTATTTATTTATTTATTTATACACACACTGGGTACAGTCAGGAGTGCGGGAGGGTGAGAGAATTCACCAGAGCCAGAGTGGGGAACAGAACAGGCAGACTGATGAAATACACTGCTGAGGGGAGCAGCGGGCATGGCAGGAGAAGTCTGCGCACCATGTGGGACCCTTGCCGGCAGCCGGGGATCAAACCGGTGCTGCAGAGGCTGTGGGCAGCTTCGCAGCCCAGCACTCAACCACTGTGCCACCACTGATCCTTTGATGTTTTGGGGCATTTAGTTTATTTTCATATCTTGGCTATTGTAAATAATGCTGCAATAAACACAGGAGTGCAGGTTTCCTTTTGAATTAGTGTTTTTGTGTCCTTTGGGTAGAATTCTAGGCGTGAAACCACTGGGTCATATGGTAAGTCCGTGTTTAGTGTTTTGAGGACACTCCACACATCTTTCCATAGTGGCTGGACCAGTTTATATTCCCACAAGCAGTGTAAGACTTTTTTTTGTAACCACATCCTTGCCAGCATTTATTGTCTCTGTTTTTTTTTTTTTAACATATATTATTATTGAATTTGTAATTTGTAATTAATTACAAATAGGCAACTGAGAATCAAGGAGCTTCACTGAATGGCCAAATTACAATTTAGTTATTGGAGAGTCTTAAATCAGAACCCAGAGTTCCCATCAATATTTTTTTCCTGGTGACTTATACTTAGCTCTATTTAAAATAACTATAAATGTTCTATATCTACTTATTAGTTATCCTTCAACTAAAAAATTATGTACTTCCATGAGTCCTTTTTGAATTCTGCAGTCTTTCCAACTTTCAGAGATCTTGACAACTTTTAATATATTTCTAACCTAAAATATATCTCTAACCACCTTTTAAAACTTTGAGGTAAATTTCTCCATTCATGAGTTAATAGCATTTAGATTGTTTCCATTTGTTGCTGTTTTGAATAACATTGTTAATAATAATCATTTACAAGCTTTTGAGCTACATGTTTTCAGTTCTCTGTATACACCTGAAATTGCTAGCTTATCTGATAAATTTATCTATATTTAATTGAAGAACTGCCAGACTGTTTTAAAGTAACTAACTATATGATGTTACATTCCCTCCAGCAGAGAATGAGGATTCCAATTTCTCTACATTCTCTCCAATACTTGTTACTATTTTTGGATTATAGCCTCCTAGTGGGTAGGAAGTGGCATTTCATTGTGGTTTTGATGTGTATTTTCCTGTAACCAATGGTGTGGAGCAACTTTTCATGTTCTTAATGGCCATTTATATATCTTTTTTGGAGAATAGTTTGTAAAGATCCTTTCCCAGTTCTTTATGTATTTTAGAGGCAAGTCTGTATGTGTTTAGATACTGGTCTTTTGCCAAACATGATTTGCAAAATCTTGCTCTCATTCTGGGTGTTGTCTTATCACTTCCTTGATAGTACTCTTACATTTCATGTTAATGTTGCATATATAATCCATCTGTATTTATTTTATTGCTTTGGCTTTGAGTGTTATATCTAAAGACACCACTGCCTAATTACAGGTCATGAAGATTTACACCTGTTTCTTCTAACATTTTGTAGTTTTAACTCTGATAATTAACTACTTAATCAATTTTGATGTAATCTTTATATGCGGCATGAGGTAGGAATCCAACTTTATTCTTTTGCATGTAGTTGTCCCAGCACATTTGTTAAAAAGATCATTCTCTCCGCACTGAATTTTCCTGGCACCCTTGATGAAAATCAGTTAACTGCAAAATTGGGGGTTTATTTCTGTATTCTCAATACTATTTCATTAATTTATGTCTCTGTATATGCCAATACCACACTGTCTTGATAGTGTACTATTGTGGTTACTTTTGGAGTATTCGTATTCTCCTACCACCATCTAATTACACCATAACCAGCGCAATTCATCATGCATGCCCAAATATATGTATATTTATAAGACAACTATAATTGTTTACAAATAGGATAGGCACACTTACATTAAATTTCATGTATTATAAAGCATACTATTAAACTGAATTTCAGTCAAGATGGAAAAACAATATTTTTTAAAGTAATATTAAGTGTTATTTTACAGAAAATTGGCAAGTAAATTGCCGTCTTCTCTTATGTTAATTATATTTTCTTGCAAACTAAGCAGAAGATGTTGCATATTTTAGGTATTAAAAACAGTGGCATGGGCCTCCCCGGTGGCGCAGCGGTTGAGCGCTGGGTTGCGAAGCTGCCCGCGGCCTCTGCGGCGCCAGTTCGATCCCCGGCTGCTCCCCGGCCACCGGAGGAGGGTCCCACATGGCGCGCAGACCTCTCCTGCCGCCCGCTGCTCCCCTCAGCAGTGTACTTTGGTCCTTCTGCCTGCTCTGCTCCCCGCTCTGGCTCTGGTGAATTCTCTCCCCCTCCCGCGCTTCTGACTGTACCCAGTGCTTGTATAAATAAATAAACAAAACAAACAAATAAAAAAAAAAAAGACTGTCGCTTTTAAAAAACAGTGGCATCAAATTTTCCCAAATCTTTTATATTGTTAATAAATAAAATACTTTTATGAATATATTATTTCATTGATAACACATCTTATTTTAACTTTATTAATTTTTTTTTCTATTGATGTAGTTCATTTAAAACACAGTATATGATTTAGGGGAATAGGTTCACACCTCCTCAGATGTGTGTTACCATGCCACACCCACCACCAAAAGCACTCATTGTCCTTTACCCTTAAACCATTGACCCTCCCCCTTTGTTCCTACCTCCACCCTTTCCTTGTCTAGTAGTGTCAATTAAGCAGTCATAATTCAAGGGTTTCTTTTGGTTTAGTTTTGTTTTGTATTTCTATATTCCACATAGAAGTGAAATGCTTTGGTATTTATTTCTCTATAATTCACATGCAAGTGAAATCATTCCACACTGGTATTTCCCCTGCAAACTTATTACACTTAATATAATCTCCTCCAGCTCTGCCCATGTTGTTTCAAATAGCAGGAGTTGATCTTTATTTTTAAATAAGTGAGTAGTATACCATCACTTATATGTATGTCCTTTAATTCACTCATTTGTCCTTGGGCACTTAACGTTTTTCCACAACTTGGCTATTGTAAGTAGTGCTCTAATGAACATCAGAGTATATATATTCCTCAAAAGTGTTTTTCCTTTCTTTGGGTAGATACCTAGGAGTAGAATTGCTGGGTCATATGATAGATGTATTTTTTAATATTTTGGGAAATCTCCATCCATACTTTTTTCCATAGTTACTGTACTGGCCTACATCTCCACCATCTGTACATTCTATACACTCAACAACATGTTTTGACTGGATTGTTTGTTGTGCCAGTTCTTTGTAGGTCTTCGATATTAGTTCCTTGTCAGATGGTTGGTGTTCAGCTATTGTCTTCCATTTAGCAGGGTGTCTTTTGTTATAATGATAGTGTTTTTGATCACATTTTGCTCATATTCTATTGTTTCCCTTGCTATTGAAGACAATTACAAAAAGATATCATGAAACCAACTGCATGGAGTATTTTGCCTATGTTTTCTTCTATGTATTTTATGGTTCCTTGCCTTACATCCAAGTCTATAATCATTTTGAATTAATTTTTGTGTATTGTGTAAGATAGTGGTCTAGTTTCATTCTTTTGCTTGCAGATGTCCAGTTTTCCAAACACCATTTGTTGAAACAGCTTCCCTTTCCCCATTGTATACTCTTGGTTCCTTTGTTGTGAACTAATTGTACATATGAGTGTGGGTTTATTTCTGGATTTTCAATTCTACTCTGTTGGTCTCTATGTGTACTTGTATTCCAATATCTTATGGTTTTGATTACTGTAGAACTGATTACTACAGATTTAATTACTACAAATTATTGCAGAATTATAGTATACTTTGAAGTCTGAGAGTGTGATACCTCCATTCCTGTTCTATTTTGTCAAGATTAATTTGGCTATATGAGGGTCTTTTGTGATTCCATGTAAATCTCAGTAATGTTTGCTCTGTTTTTATGAAGAATTTCATTGAAATTTTGAGTTTCTGCTGTGATGGGGCTGCTTCCAGGTCCCTTGTATTTTAATCGATATAGTAAACATAAGAAAATAATTAACATAAATTATTTTTTCCTGAAAATCAGTCTAACATTTCTATGGATTTATTTTTTATTTTAAATTTTTAATTTTCACTCTGTTATTTTTGCTGAGGTAACATTGGCTTATAACACTGTATATGATCTGTGGTATAGATTGCAATCTTCAGATTGCAAATTCTTCTTTGACATGCTTTTGTCACTCAATGTTATGGTTGTAAAATTTATCTATGCAGATGCACAGAGCTGTCATTTGTTTTTTGTCCATTTTATATTTTATTGTGTAAATATAGAATAATTTATTAAATAATTTGGTTTGTCTCAATTTTTTTTTTATTTAAAAAATGCTGTGTTGACATCCTAGTATATGTCTCTTAGTACATGCTTGCTATAATCTTAGTAGGGATATTCCTGGATGTTGGGTTAATGGATTGTATTATACATGTCTCTGTAACTTTACTAAATACCAACAAATTATTTTTCAAAATGGCTACACCGCCTTACACTCTTATGAACAGTCTGTGGAAATTGTGATTGCTCTATATCCTTTTTTTATTTTTGAAGAATGAAAAAGTTCATTTAAAGGATCATTACTGGGCTTTGTCTAATTGATTCAGACTTAAAGAAAAAATATGAAATTATTTTCTCTAGTAAGGATAGTGTAGCTAAAATGGTTTTAAATTCCAGAATTTTAAAATCAAATTGTCTATGGACTAATAAAATTGTGTTCCTTGATAGATTGAAAAGCCTATCAAGTCTGAAAAATATATAATTTTTTGGGGGTTTGTTACTCAAATATTTCTCAACTTTTTCCTCTTCTAGTGCCAGGCGCTGTTCCTACTGAGTCTATCCAAGGAAGTACCTTTGAAGAGAAGATATTCCTTCAATGGCGAGAACCAATTCAAACATATGGTGTCATCACTTTATATGAGGTGCATATACATTTGGCAGTAGTTTAATTTATTTTATAATCTATATGGTAACTGGACCACCTAGTATTTAAAATTCATAGTGGTATCATGCTTTTAAAGAAGCTTAATGTCTTCAGTAGTTAAAGCAGTTATTCTATAGAAGCAGAGAAACTAAAACTGAATTTTTGAATTAAGTATAATATCAGGATATATAAGATAATTTGGGGTTTCCAGATTATATATTACTTGTAAAGGCATAACATAGTATTTTTAAAATAATTTTTATTAAAAACAAGTCTTTTCTGTAGTGTACATTGATTGTGAGGCAACCATAGAATCCTACGCTTGCTAGCTGTAAAATATTTGACTACTGAATAATAGAAGAATGCTGATTATTCAATTAGCAAAGTCAATAGACATTGTCTCAGGAGTAACAAGAGAATAATGCCTTTTGGCTTCTTAGTATTAGCAAAACATCCTTTAGACTTCTGTGACATAGTTTTGTCTACTGAGGCATATCAAATGAGAATGATAGATAGCAGAGAAGAATTTGATGAATTGTTCAAGGAAAAAAATAATAGCAGTAACAGGGGTGACAGTCATCATTACATCTGTATGAGCATCATTTCTATGCCTATTGTCATAGAAACAAGCAGGTGCTTTTTTTTAAGCTAGCATTTATTTGAATGCAAATTTAACAAAATTATATGTTGTTAGGTTTCTAAAAATCACGGCAGTTCCTCTTATGGAATTTCTGCTTGAATACCTTTCAGAACTACTGACAAAAGCCCGAGCAGATTAGCTGTCAGATAGTAATCACTGGCAAACCCCTTCTCTGACCTAACTACCTTCACATTTATGTTTCCTAATACCTTTTGAAAATTGGGACTGAAATCCAAAAAAAAAAAAAATTAATTTAATTGAAAGCTAAACAAAATATGAAAAAAGTTGATTTTTTATGTTAAGTTATGGGTGCTATTCATGGGCTGCTTCATTGTAAAAGAATCTAGTGTTAGAAAAATTTATACTTCAGCTTTTGTGGAGCTATGTTCTGTAATTAATTCATACAAATTCTTACATTTTGTTCTCAGTCAATGGCCAGAATCTTTTAGTTAATATTGTTGGTCCCATGTCAGTTTTTAGGTCACAGTGTTGGAAATCTTACCTAATAACAGACTCTTCTACTAGGAAACATGTGGTCTTTGGAATCGGTGTGAAGTTCAAAGAAAATTGTCCATTAGTCCAAATGCCACAAGTTGATATCTAGACAGACAGAAAATAACATCCATTTTCTTTCTTTTTGATCCCAGTGATCTTAACATCTTTTTGTAATAAGTGACTTTCACATGAAGACAATAGGAATAATAACTCAAAAGAAGAGCCCATTAATCTGTGACTTCAGCAGCCAGGACCTCCCAATTGAGCACTGATCTAAATGCTACTACAATGGAGATGCATGAATGTGTCAGAAATCAGGGTTTTAAAAAGCACAAATGGGAAGGTGTAGTAGGTTGATTCAATTTTCTAGATCCCAAACAGAAAATGTCAAATGTGTGAATGAGTCTAACGTGATTACATACAAGTTTTCTGAAAGCCAAATCTTTCTCTTTTACCCATGATTTCTGAAAGTGGGAAGGCAGATTCTGGGCCCTTCTAGGAGCCCCTACATGGGTCACAGATGTAGCTCTTCTTTAGTTAAGATGTAGTTGTGAATGATGTGACTCACCCACCTTTGCCAGAATATAGAGAGACAGAGCTTCCTCCTGCAGCCAAGGACTCCCGTTAAACTAGACCCGATTCTCTTGCTAGGAGACCAGAGTCTCCTCACACACAGAGCATGCTGAGAAATAAAAAAGTTGCCCAAAAGTAAGCAGGGAGCTTATGTACAGTGTATTCTTTTAGAGAAACACATTTATGATGATAGTTAAAAGCTAGAAGGTGAAGTTATCAAAGTTGAACAAAAATTTAGTAAGAATACAGGTATTCTTTAGGAAAGGAAACACACGGGGATAGTTCATAGGTGAGAATTAAAAACAGATTGAATGGTGTAGGTGTTGTAAATGAGTATGTTATGGGCTCAGGTTATTCTGAGTTCCCACTTTACTACTTATGAAAGATATGCTAAGCCATTCATGATTGGAAAATCATGTCAGTGTCATTTTATTCTGGAAGTTATACCAATTTATAGCATTAAAGCATTCTTCTGCTCTGATTCTTTGCTGTTCTTTTTTGATCTCCTAATTCCATCTTCTGCCTCCTCAAATTAGCCTTTCCTTTCTATTCTCCCCACCTTCGTTCTGGCTGTGACTTTTTTCAAACTGTACTTTCCAGTCAGCCATTTGATAACTATCAACATTTTTATTTTATCAAATTATAACTATGATGTTTCTGTCTAAAATAATTTAGGTACAAAAGTATTCACAATAAAATATCTTTGCTCCCTAATTTCATTTAACAGCTATGTACATGCCCTTCCAAAATTTTACAAGGCATCAATGCATATTCACTGATGAATAAAAATTGATAACATTTTATAAATGTTAGCAAACCCAACATTTTATTGCAAGAATAACATGCCATGAAAGACTGCCATCTCACATCACACAGAAATGAATACCAAACTCATGATCTAAACACAGTAATTAAATTATCAGGACACTGTAAGAAAAATAAGGATGACATTGTGCAATACATATTTCTAAGCTTGACATAAAACCAAAAAGTCATTAAAAATTGACGTGTTTGGTTATATAAGAATTTAAATTTCTGAATGATTATACTACAAAGAAAATTTAAATGCATACAGAGGACTTGGAGAAGATATTTTCAAAATTTTAGCAAACAGACAAAACAGGCCACTAGAAAAAAAATTAACAAAGAATAACAGGAGAAAAATAATGAATAGTATTTAAATGATATAAGCATGTGGAAAGATACCCGACTCACCTTACTAGTGATTAAAAAATGCAATAAAATAAGTGCCACAGAAAGCATGTATACTGCCAAGTGTTAAGCAGTGGTTTGGGGAAATGTGTGTATACCTAACCTTTAATGAGAAAGCATACTTGCAGCCTCTTTTGTAGGCAATCTGGAGTATTTTTCAAAATTTAAATACTGCATATTAAGTCAGTTTTGGAAGTTTTCAGTCACTAATGCTCCCAAATGTCATGAATAGACATATGACTCTTCATTTTACCTCACTAACTTTATAGAGCTCTTCATTGTCTAGTGAGTAAACACTTCTCTTGGTCACAAGACTAACATATCCACAAGCCTATATTTATTTTTTTAATTTAGTATGCTTATGGTATTGAAAGAAGACAGAAGTATAAAAGGTCTTGCCCCTTCCTAATAGAAGTAACAGTCCTATCTGTGGCTGACTATACAGTAATGAATCAAATATCAAATGCAAGTCAGTTTGGTATGTGAAGACTAAAATACAGGGTTACTCAGGCACGTAGTAAAGTAAAATAGTCCAAATTTATCAACTGATTGGGGGACAGCATTGATGAATCAGGAGTTGAAGACACCCCAAGCTCTCAAGCTTGGATAACTGGTTTCATTAATTACTATTGACTGAGATAGGTAATAGCATAGAAAAGTGTTAGGATCCATGTTAATAAATTTGGTGTCGATATTCAAGGCCATCTGTGATTTAATCCCAATTTATATTTATTACTATTTCTTTCCTTATTTTTTCCAAGAATTTAATGAACTATGATATGAAATTTCCTTTTCTCACATAATCTTCTGAATTATCACATCTTGATTTTCCTTATGTCCTTCTTTCTCCTCATGCCCCCCATGTACTTTTTTTTTTTTTAAGATTTATTTATTTATTTATTTATTTATTTATTTATTTATTTATTTATTTATTTATACAAGCACTGGGTACAGTCAGAAGCGCGGGAGGGTGAGAGAATTCACCAGAGCCAGAGTGGGGAGCAGAACAGGCAGAAGGACTGAAGTACACTGCTGAGGGGAGCAGCGGGTGGCAGGAGAAGTCTGCGCACCATGTGGGACCCTCGCCAGCGGCCGGGATCGAACCGGCGCTGAAGAGACTGCAGGCAGCTTCGCCGCCCAGCACTCAACCGTTGCGCCACCGGGGAGGCCCTCCCCCCATGTACTTTTGCTCATCTTCCAGAATTTTGTTGAAATATTATAATTTTTCCCAAATTATCCGAGACTCTTCCTCCCCTGAAATCAGATTTAATTATTCATTAACTTTGATTGCTTGGACCTTCATTAAAAGATTATATTTAATACCAACTGCAATTACAGTCTATTCAAACTTCCTAAAAGATTTTGACTCCCTTCATGGTCAAAAATTGCATGTTATTCCATTTGGTTCTCTATGACTCTTTCAGCGTAGAATATGAGAGTGTAGATAGAGGAGGGAAAGATAGTTCTAGAATATATACCAAGTAATTGCATACAAATCTAATATAAGCAGTTGTTGACTCCATCTCACCTATCTAACCCCCACATATGTTGTTTATGGGACAGTTTGCTTTTGACTTGGGGCATCACATAAAATCACCTAGCTCCAACACTAGAACATCAGTGTCTACAGAGAACTCATGAAAATTACCTTGACCTCATCCACTGATGCAATGTGAGAGGATAGTCTCAGACAGTCCTTCTGGGGGAGATGCAGCTGCTTTTCCACAGTGTGGGGCTTAATAGATCTCTATTAAATGAACAAATGAAAAAATTAACGACAAAAGGACATGTTGCATTTGGGTTTGAACACAGAGGTGCATTTAGATGAACTTTTTTAGAACTCGACTCTTGTGAACTGATGTTTATTGACTATCAACTCTGGCAGGAAATAGAATTTTAAAGTTAAATTGCCCCTCTATCTGAGGAACTTTATTAAAATTCCCAATATTAAAAAAACTCTCAAGTTTCTGCATGAGTTTGTCAGGGATCCATGGACTTTTGAACATTTTGTGTCCACTTGCTAGAGGAGAAGGAGAAGATTCATAATTTTTAAAAGTGTATGAATTAATGTGTTTGTGCATCTTTATGGGAGGGGAAGAGAAGACCTATAATTTGTATCAAATTGTTAAAGAGCTGTCTAGCTATCCTGCAACTCTTTGGCTGTAAGCAGGTAAGGTACAAGCCCATCAGCCCTAGTGGAACAAATCTTTTAGCTTTTTGCTTTACAGGCGGGGCCAGTGGAGCATACATTCTATGTGCCTTCATCTGAGCATTTATGTGAGCACATACACAAACCTGCTCTCCCCAGGAGTCTTTTTAGAAACTAAATACTGAATGCCAAATATTTACTGATCACAGTGGGATGAGAAAGAAGAGTAAGACATCAGTCACTCCTCAGAAAGAAGACACAATTATGTGAAAAATTTCAATTCCTTTGGCATATTTAAATCGTAATTTAAGATAACATGGGCTTTTATAGCATTTCATGACTTACTTTCAAATGCATTTATTAACAGTCACAGAAGTAGGCTTTCAGCTAATCCAGTAACTGCTGGATCAGATTTGGAAGGCCAGATTTTGGAAGGCTTTACAGATGCATAAGATGGGAAGTCTGATTTGAGACAAATGGACACATTTTTATTCCAGTCTCACCTGAACTGTCAGCAGCATCTTTAAAAACACTTTCTTCTTAAAACACTTATTTGGCCTTTTTTTAGAAGATTTATTTATTTATACATAGAAGTACTGGGGTACAGGCCAGAGTTGTGGGTGGTGAGGGGATTCACCAGAGACAGAGAGGGGAACAGAATAGGCAGATCTACTGAAATACACTGCTGAGGGGAGATGCAGGAGAGTCAGGAGAGGTCTGCTGTGCATTATGGGTATCTCCTTGGCCAAGGATGGAACTTGTGCTGCAGTGGCTGTGGCAAGCTTCATTGGTTGTGTCTTAACCCCTTGCGCCACCAGGGAGGCCTTATTTGTCTTTTAATTTCTGAAACAGAACTCTCTTTTGCTCTTCCTGATTTTCTGATTATTTTGTTGGCTTTTCCTCCTCTATTCTTTTTTTTTTTTTTTTTAGATCTTTTTTTTTTTTTTTTTAATAGAGGCATGTTTTATTTCTTTCTTTCTTTCTTTCTTTATTTGATGGTTTGTTTATACATGCACTGGGTACAGTCAGAAGCGTGGGAGGGTGAGAGAATTCACCAGAGCCAGAGCGGGCAGCAGAGCAGGCAGAAGGACCGATGTACACTGCTGAGGGGAGCAGCGGGCGGCAGGAGAGGTCTGCGCGCCATGTGGGACCCTCCTCCAGTGGCTGGGAAGCAGCCGGGGATCGAACCGGCGCCGCAGAGGCCGCGGGCAGCTTCGCAACCCAGCGCACAACCGCTGCGCCACCGGGGAGACCCTCCTCTATTCTTTATTAAATATTAGTGTATTCAGGCCTCCCCGGTGGCGCAGCGGTTGAGTGCTGGGTTGCGAAGCTGCCCGCAGCCTCTGCAGCACCACTTTGATCCCCGGCCACCGGGTGAGGGTCCCACATGGCGCACAGACCTCTCCTGCCGCCCGCTGCTCCCCTCAGCAGTGTACTTTGGTCCTTCTGCCTGCTCTGCTCTGACTCTGGTGAACTCTCTCACCCTCCCGTGCTTCTGACTGTACCCAGTGCTTGTATAAATAAATAAATAAATAAATCCTTAATAAATAAATAAATATCAGTGTTTTCCCTAAAATGCTTTCCCTGTTGACCTTATCTATTTCTAAACAATAGTATTTTAATGCTGATCTCCCCCAAGTCTTTATTATTGACCTGGCATTTCAGATCCCAGCTCTGTCATACACAGCATGTCCGTGTTGATAGACATCTAAAACTTGATAAGTACACAGTCCAATCCATCTGTTTATTCTCATTCATCCAATCTCACTTTAGGAAGCAGTGTCATCTTTTGTTCAAGTACAGTTCATGGGACCTCTTCCTTGATTCTTCTTTTTCCCATAATCAGTTGATCACTGAGTTCTGCCCACGTTGTCTCTAAAATATGTCATCCTTTCCATTTCTTATTCTCTTCACTGCCCCAGCCTTAGTTCAAGCCACTATATTCTCTCTCGTGTGTTACACATTTATGCCATGATCTCTGAGGGAGCTCCTGGTGGTTTCCCTACAGTCTTTACTGTCCCCTTCAATCAAACCAGTCTTCCACCTGGCAGCCAAAGTGATCTTTTTATGAAGCAAATCAAATCATTTTGTTTTCACACATAAAAATGTTCAAAGGCTCCCTGTTACATGTACCTATGCATTACCTTGAAGTGCAGATCACTGCACAGTATTTTCCTTGCCCACTTCTCTAACCTCCAGGACCACACTCATGTCACTAACTGGGCTGCACCACAGCCTTGGTTGAGTCCATTTACAGTGCTCCTGCTTCACACCTTCAATCCAGGCAGTTCTGCCTCAAACTCTTGACATGGCTTCTCCCTCACAAAATTCAAGCCTTGTCTAAATGACCTGTCCTCAGTGGACACTTCCTCAGCCATTCTAAGTGATCATGGATATAGCCCCTATCTGCACATTATTCTTTCTTTCAACTCCTTGTTTGTTTCTTCTATTGAACTTAAGGTTTTTAAATCATGACTTTACTTACCATCTATCTCCCCAGCTCCACCCTCCCCTGTCTACATTCTAGCTCTCTGAGGGGAGGGCCTGTGTGCACCTGCTTACTTCAGGGCTCGCAGTTTGCAGTGTCAGTGTTCAATCTACCGACATTTGAATGAAAGGAGCAAATCTGAGTGGTTGTAAAAAATGAGACAGAGGTCACCCTATCATGTTCCAGGTAGATGAATGTTTGTGAGCAAAGGCAACATCAGAAAAGGCCAGTAAGTGTTTATAAGGCAAACATATGTAACCAGGACAGAAGGTAACATAATATCATAGGTAATATAGTGTCCAAGCATTCAGAAACAACTTTGACAGCAGAAGGTGAGACAGAGCTTAAACTGGAAGCTAGGGAGTGTGAACTGTGTCCTGTATTTACGTCCCATTGAAGTTTTTAGTGAAGTAATAAATGAACAACATTAGTTTAGCCCTAGTGGGCAATACAAGTCCTTATTTTAATTGTGCTTTACTGTAACTGTGGGACAGCTTCCCCCCTACCACACTGGAGGGTACCACTTCTGAATCACCATATGAACCCCTAGCTCAGAGCACAGTGATTGCTACATTAGAGGCATGCAGTGAATATGTTTTGAGTGACTGAATGAATAAACTGAGGGGGAGAAATTAAGCTGTTGCAGCCTAGATGGGCCATCGTCTTTGAACTACTTTTTTCTCTGGGGATATCAGAAGGCCATCAGCTAAGCACACAGCGGTGATGCCGCCCAAGTCCCAGTACAGCAGGCAGCTGGGTAGTAGACATGGTCGGATCTCTTGACATGACCTGGAGTCATCTGAGGGAAGACTACTAGAGGGTTAACAGGAGATATGCTGCCAATGCTCAGCGTGCTGAGCACTGCAATGATTAATATATACAGCAGACATTTTCTTGCCAAAGCTTAGTTGATTCAATCTAAATATTCTTTCAGAGAGGTCTTCTTAATTATAATGACATGGTATAAATATAAGAAGAAAGAATGTCAATTATCACTCTGTATAATAACAGTGTTAGTGTTCATGCACATAAATTATAAGTAAGTTTACCTATTTAAAAGCAAGAAAAGAGCTTAGTTTTGCAATTTAAAACTTTTGGATATGCCATGTTTTAAAATTATGTCATTACAACCCAGTGGAAGTTAGTAATCACCACTAAAATGCACGTTCTTGAGTAGCTGATGAACTACTTACAGTGAAATTCTTTGAAAAAATCATTTGAAAAGGCAAAATTTAAAGGCACCTATGTTCGATTTAATCTCATACATTACAGACTCACCCAAATGCTCTGAATGCCTGACATTCATGGCAATTTAAATTTAAATTTTGGTCAATTAAAGTTAAATAAAATGTTCAATTCTACAAGCTCACATGTCACACTTCAAGTGCTCCTTAACCACAGGGCTAGTGGCAACTGTACTGAACTGTACAGGGTAGAACAATTCCAGTGTGACAGAAAGTTTCATCAATCAGCATTCCTCAAAATGAAAAGCAAATGTGATCCACCAGGAACACCACATTAAGATTTACTTATCAAACATAAATGTGTCTGGGATTTATTTTTGGAGCCTGCATCTTTGCCTGCATTCATGAAAACACTTAAAAATGACCTTGTTCCCAGAAGAGGATAATCCTATTCAATGCTAAATCAAACTGTGGCCACCAGATGGGAGATGAGACTTTACCCTTGTCAGCTGCTTATCTGTTTGAGTTCGGTTGTGTGTTTTGTTATTTTGTTTTAAGCCAACTGTAATGTAGCTTCCCAAAATGACATTTTTTTAAAGCAAACAACTCCAAGGTATTAACTTAAACCTGAACTCATCCTGTGTGTTCTAAGGCACTTACTTTTAAGTTCCTCTGCCAATAGAAGTAATAACTCATAACAGTTTAGACTGAATTTCTGTGCCCCTTCACTGGATCCAGGATTTGAAGAGTCTAAGTGAGTAAGAGAGCTTATAAAGTGTATGACAGTGCATACATCAGAAAGGTTTATTGGATAAAGATGCAGTCTTGGTCCATCTGCTCCAGATATTTTATCACATTCTTATTCTCTTGCAGATCACCTACAAAGCAGTCAGTTCCTTTGACCCAGAAATAGATTTATCCAATCAAAGTGGAAGAGTTTCGAAACTGGGAAACGAAACCCATTTTCTGTTTTTTGGACTGTATCCGGGTACTACCTACTCCTTTACTATCCGAGCCAGCACAGCTAAAGGTTTTGGACCTCCAGCAACAAATCAGTTTACGACCAAAATATCAGGTACTACAATAATGCTTTATTTTGCCTTTGATCAGAAGTGGCATTTTTGCTCCAATTCCTTTTTCATTGTGAAGTATGCAAAACTCACCCAAACTGGTACTGAATTCAAATAAATACTTTCCAGTGTCTGAAAATTAGACATTGTTTGTCTATCCCCAACAAAAAGCCTAAGCCAAAACTAGGTGAGATGTTATAAATATTTATAATTTGGGAGTTTAAGATCCTTCTGTGTTAGGGGGTACCACTGTTTGAACAATTTTCATTAGAGGACTTGGATACCAGCAGAAGGGTCTGTTTTCTTTAAACCTATCCCCTTTAAGTTTCCAAAGCAGCTGAGTTGGGAAAAAGCTCTGTAATGAACCATGACTGATTGAGGGCTAAGCAGAAAGGCAACTTCCAGAAGGTTCAACCTTTCTTAGGACCTTCACCATTAGTAATTTCACATCCTGAAGAAAAAGACAACAGCAGAGGGTGGTACCAGGCATGTAAGGCCTGCAGCTTTCTGCTTAGAGGCTCAATTACACCATCCAACAAAAGACATAATTTGAGAAATATTTCTGGGCATGTGCAACTGTGCAGAAAATGTCTTTGTGCTTCAGACTAGAGGAAATGGAGCTGCCATCTGGTATGGGATATGTAACAGCAATAAATACAATTCCGTGGACGTTTTCTTTTTCCATTTTTCCCTTTGGGTATGAGTGGTGAAGTATTTGAGTTTTGGCTTTGACTCTTGGTTGGGGATAGACAAGCAGGAGGCAGGAGAGTAAAGTAACTCTTATAATCTGAGTTAGCAAAATTATAGATAGCCTGATTTTCCCCTCATTCCTACTTTTGTAAATTTTTGTTTAGAATTAAAAGAAGGGGCTACAACTATTGCACCATAAGCATTCTACTAGGTTTTGAGAGAGGAGCTTTGAAATTTTGTTTTTAAGTAGTTATTACTTACATGATAATTTGTCATGACACAAGGTTTTATTTATGAGCACACACTTCTGTCAAAATTTAATACCCACTTGATGTTTTATATAAAACACTCAATTATAAGAAGTTGAGAGTCAAGGAAGAGGTGGAAGTCCCTAGGAGAGTTAGGAAAATGACATGGATCGTGCAATGTGTAGAAAGAATACTGTCACTGAAATCAGAAAATGTGGACTTGCTATCAGAAATTTGGCATGATGTGGTTCAAGTGAATTCATCCTGGATGTCAACTCAGATGATATTATCTGGTGCATAAAATATCCTGCGGACTTTAAGAGGAATATGTGCCTAGGTAGAAACCTCTAAGCCCCGCCTTTTATTGTCATTTTCCCATATGGGCATCAAATTTCAAAGATTATTACTTTGAAAAGCATGTTCTTTTAGAAAAATAATTCATTTTTACCAGATAAAAATTCTGATTGATATGAGTCTTATTAGTGTTAGCCCACCATGTTCATACGGTTCTATCCAAAAGTAAAGACAGCTGATGTTGGAGTGAGCCTGTACAGACTCATCAAGAAAAACTATTTGATTTTTATAATTTAAAAAATGTGTAGTTTATGGGTCCCTATTTTCTACTTTCATGGACCTAAGATAGAGAACTGCTCTCTATACAAAATGTAATTCTATTTTATGAATTAGAATTAATTTTTAATAGAATTGGAGTTAATTTTTAATACTGAGAAAATCCAATAAATGGAACTGAGAAATAACCCATGTCTTCTGCATAAAAGCATTTTATATATAAGAGATTTAAAAACCATTTTGCAAGAAATAGCATTCTCATCAGGTAATTCTACCCAGGGGTTGTAAAAGGACCTTGTGCCCTCCCACATCACAGCCTTCATAAAGTGATTTCTCTTGTCTATGGTAGTGACAAATTACTGAAGAGCTCTGTTGTTATCTTTTTGTAATAAGACTTAACAATCTAGAGAACAAAGAATGCCAGGAAATAGCCTTGAAAATAGGAGTCACATTGGGAGGAGAACTAACATTTGCAGAATTATATTTGCCTGGCTCTCCTTATCTATTATCTCTTTGAATTCCCATAAAAATCCTAGAGGTAGTTTCTTCTATTTTGAAAGATGAGTAAACAAACTACAGAGAAAATTATCATGCCTACACTCTTATGCTGATTAAAACAAAGCATAGCAAAATGTCATCCCCAAGCCTTTCTTACTTCAGTTCTTATATTTTTTCCACTGTTCTTCTTCCCCTGAGAGTTCATAAGTGGTCACTTATTTCAGGAAGCTTCCCGGCCCCCACAGGCCCCTCAAGTCCCAGGATGGACCTTTGGTACATACATGGGAAACCTTGATGTAGATCAAGGAATGCTAATATTTAGTTGTATGATCTTAATAATTATTTCTTAAATATGCATTGTAAAGTAAATTTTTGAAAAAATGCATAACAGAAAAGTACACAGATACGAATAATATAATTCCATGAATTTTTATGAGCAGACTATACCCATTTAATGAACATAGATATCAAGAAACAGAATATCACTAAAATCCTTCCAATCCCCCTTATAGGGCCTCTCCTAACTTAAACTCAAGATTGAAGAAGTCAGCAGGGAGGAGTTTTAGCATTGCTTCTGATAATTGTGTAAGACAGATATATAAAATCTTTTCATGGTCAGCAGATTGCTGCAGTATAAACTAAGTGCACTGTATTTGGAATGTTCTTTGTCAATGAAAGTAGAAAGAAAACAGTAAAGATAACCCAGAAGTAACGAGTTTCCTGTCTCACGAATTTTTCCCCAGCACCCTCCATGCCAGCTTATGAACTTGAGACACCTTTGAATCAAACTGACAACACAGTGACAGTCATGCTAAAACCTGCACACAGCAGAGGTGCACCTGTCAGGTATGGAGAAGAGGTGTGGGCTGACTCTAGAGAGACGGAAATGAAAATAGAGTTGATTAATTTCTCAAATGTGTTTTCTAGGGATTTGCTAGAAACCTCAGTCAGCGTGTAAACCCCTATCTCTATTAGCTCTAATTAAAAGAAGTGACTGAGGAAAAGGAAAGTGCTTTCATGTGGGGTGATCAAGTATTGTGTAGAATTTGATTCTGATGCAAGTGGGTTTTCTTTGAAGATAAGGAACAAAAGCCCCAGTCTATTGGGATGTGGCTTTACTTCTAAAGGTAATTGTTTGCTGCAATTAGGTTATCCAAGAGCAGCTGATGGTTTTGTTCTGAGCTCTATTCTTTAAATGGACCTTTGTTTTTTGTTTGTTTTTCTGCGGTTTTAAGTCAGTTACCTTTTAAGAAATTGGTTAATTTCTCAATCAAACATGTGAAGTATAATTATTTTTTTAAAAGAAACAGATGATTGGAAAGAGCATTTATTTGAACAGATTTAAGTTTCTTACTAGCATGGAGGCCCCATTTTTCATTCCCTATGATTTATATAGCTACAGAATTACAAAGTGTAACTTTTACAGTGAATGAATAAAATAAATTTATTCTTTTTAGGAAGGAGCAAAGGAATGCCTGAATAAGTCTTAAATGTGAACTTGTCATAAGCTCATTAATCTATATAAATAAAATCTCTACTTGTTTCAGAGGGATTTAAATATTTTGTACTATCAGAATAGATTCCTTTCAAAATAACCTGTTACTTTGAATAGCATACTCTAAGGAAACATTTACATTCACAATTAAGATTGTTTGTTTCCGTGTTCCTTTTATTTTATTAACCTCTTGAAACTTGGCTATATTTGTTCACAGTTTCACTAAAGTATTATAGGACAATCATAAATAATTCTCAGTTCATAGACTCAAGAGTAAAGGCAGAATAATGTTAATTGATAGTGAAGTCAAATTAGAGTAAAATCACAGACATTTTTATTTTGAAAACCTATAAAATTATATGAAACAATTTCTAGTTTATTCTGTTGACTTAATCAATATAGTGAGTCATAGAAGAGATTTAGGACTGCCATACTGAAATGCACTTTGCGAGGACACTCGCAAAGATGTAAAGTTCTATTCTATATTTAAGATGTTATTACTGCTACAAAAGGGATGCCATTGACACTATCCAGCACCTTTAGGTTGATTTGTGTGTAGTGCTGAGGGGTTGCACTAATCAGACTGGCCAGAGGCATGCATTTGTTAGATGTCTGTCCAAGACCCACGGGTACCTGTGGCCATGAGGTAGACTTTTTTCTTTCCAAAAGCTGAATTATTATGAAATGAAAATTGACACTCTGCCTAAGACTCTGCAGAAACATCACGATAAAAATTGAAGGCAAATGTGCCTCCAATGCCTCCAAATGCAAAGAGGCTGAAATCCTAATCATTTCACCAAAACATGCATTTACTCCCTATTCTACTTTGTTCTTACAAAAATTCCCTTTATACATTTCCTATTCTTGTTTTATTTTTTTCTTTGAACTCATCCAGTGATATTTCTATCCATCTTTGCACAGATCTGCCTAAACTTACAGATAACATCTCTTGGGAATCTGTCTTCTCCCCCTTCCTTTATCTTTTTAAAGTGGCCCTTGTAATTTAAGCTACTGTGCCTGTTTTCTAGCATATGCCTGTTAAAGCACTGTTTTGTTGTTGATTGCTTTTACCTAGTTCTACTGATTTTGGAGGTGTTGGAGTCTTACTACCTAGTTCATTGCAGATATCCTCAGATTTTCTCTTCTGTCTACAAAAAATACATATTCAAATGCTTGTCAGAATGTCCAAAATTCATGGTTTTCTTCACAGGTCTTACATCATTCCATCAGTCCCAGCTTTCTAATTCTGAAAAGATTTCAGTTTGTGATGCCACACTCTCTTTCACTCTTGTGTTACTGACCTGTTTTCCAAGTTCAGTACCACTCTCCTTGATTAAACATCATCTTGGTATTGGCTAAATGTTTCCTTAACTTTGCCAGGATCACTTTTCATTCTACCTTTTACCCCCTTTTCTGTAGTGCTAACATCTTGAAATTAATAAATTTATCATTTATGTTCATCATCTAAATCCATAATGTTAGATTCAAGATCAATTTTTTTGGACACTGTTCATAAGTATTAAAGGGAAGTTCACTACAAATATCACCTTTACTAGAAGGATGCTTGTCTTAAATGGGTAAATTTTCTTGGCACAAATTTGACAGAGGAAATTATCTCAACCTCACCTGTCAAAGGATTTTTATTTTTTGCAGAAAAGTTAATATGCTCTTCAAGGAATTCCTTATTATACCACTACATAATGAGACTGATTATCTATTGAGTAGGTAGAAGACCAATATATGTAAAAAGACCAGTTTGGTTACAAAAAAAATGTTCAAATGCTCTCCAACTAAATGGAGCATATAAAAATTTCAATTTCACTTAATGTTTGAAGAAATAAGAACTCTGATTAGGGAATCATAAGGTCCTAAAATAAAAAGCCATAATGTAGATTAAAACATTTGAACACATCTGGAAATTTGCAAAGTACACATGTAATCAAACTGCTATACAAGAAAGCTTTTCCCAAATGATAAGATAAATACTAGAAGAAAGAGGGAAATGGAAGTGAACAGCTGTTTTCTTTCCTGGATCTTGAACAGTATTGTGTGTTCAAAAATCCTGTCATTGTGTGGTTTCCAAAACTCATTCTTTCAAATGATTTGATTTTTCTTTAATCCATATTCATTGGTGTTGAAAAATTCAGTCATACTTCATTTATGCAATCCAGTAAGTAAGGTGCTTGTGTATTGATTCCACTACAAACACTCAGCTTGGTTAATGCAAATTCTTGAAATTGCACAAACTCCAATGTAAATGATGCTTGTTTTTTTTATTGATCAGTACATCAACTGTCACATAAAATTATTTAAATTCTGAGATGGCCAGGAAGAACACAAATTCCGTCACACCAACCCATAAAACTAGTAAATAGGAGAGAATTTTAACATCTGTTCTTGGATTCTTTTTTTTTCTTTTTTTAAGACAGAGAAAATCTTAATTTTCTTTTACTTAGAGTCACCTCACTTCTCTCGCTTCTCTTCTCCACTGTTCACTTCATGCAGACACAATCGAATGAAGAAAACCCTTATAATTTTCCATTAAATGAGCAGCTCTAAATAATGAGCTTTCCACAAATTGTTGTGTTTTTTGCACAGTTAAAACTGATTTTACTTATGCTATAATACATATATATGTATATATATATATATATATATACACTATGTGTGTGATCTTCCTTGTTAATGATACCATATGCCTTCAAATGGTTTATAGCTCAAGATATAATCAGGTTTTTGAGCCTTGGGTGAAGATATTTTCAAATGACTCATTTTTGTTCTTTGGACATCGTTGCTTTTATGTGTTCCTAAATGGTTTGAAGTTATGTGTCTTTTTAATTAAATTTCAGTGCTTAATATGTTACTTAATTAAGCATTCTGATATTTGTTTCAGTGGACTGTTAAAAGGTTGCCAAATTATTCTTTAATTCATTCCTTCAGGAGCATCTACTGAGTGGGGAAAACATTTATAGTTGTCTGCCCATAGGGTAGGAGATGGACAATAATCACATCAACATCTGAAACATTAAAACTGATTCCTAAGTGTGTGGATATAATTTTAACTTATGTGTGCCATTTTGTTCTTCTAGTACCCCAGTTATTTTAATGCTATGCTTTCATTGTCTTTGGTAACCTCTTTATAGTATGATTACCCTTGCAATTGAATGCTCCCTCAAAATTTATATTTTACAAGCAAATTTGTGAATAATTTCTTAGCTAAAAATCAGAGCCAAAATATTAACACAAATAGGAAATTTATTCACTACTTTATTAATGGAAAAGAAATGATGGCATAAAGAATAGAAGAAATATTTTACCTTACTTTTTAAATTTTATGCCCTAGTGTAATTTAAGTATGATTGTAGATGAGGTAGGAAACATTTCCTGTTAGTAACAGGCAAGCATAAATATTTTATTTATCCAAAACATTTATAATGAAGTGCATGTGGCCCATATAAAAAAGACCAGCAACAAGTGTTGGCAAGGATGTGGAGAAAAAGCAACCCTTGTACACTGTCAGTGAAAATGTAGACTAGTCCAGCTCCTCCGGAAAATGATATGGAAGTTTTTCAAAATATTAAAAATAGGCCTACCATATGATCTAGCAATTCCATTCCTGGGCATTTACCAAAAAAAAAAAAAAAAAAAGCCAAAGCACTAATTCAAAGGAATATGTGTATTCACACATTCAGGACAGCATTATTTACAATAGCCAAGTTATAGAAAAAATCCAAGTACCCAAGGACATATGACATATGACATATGATAAAGAAGGTAGACATAATGGAATCCTGTGCAGCTCTTAAAAAGATGAACTCTAGTCATTTGTGACACATGGATTGAACTGGAGGGGATAATACCAAGTAAAATAAATAAGGAGAAAAACAAATACCTGATGATTTCACTCATAGGGGAAATACAGATAAGCTAAACAAAGGGTCATACAAGACCAAATCAAAACAAACCCTAGAAATCTGGTTATAAAATTGAGGTCCCCATAAGATAAGGGGGAGATGGACAATGTTAAAGGTTATGGGTGCCTTAACCCATATGGCAGATTAACTGCGTGGTGGGTGTGGTGTGGTAACTTACATCAGAAAATATATGATCCTATATCTCTGAATCCTATACAGTGCTGTAAACCAATGTTACCTCAAAAAAATGTATATAAATGGGCCTCCCCGGTGGCGCAGCGGTTGAGCGCTGGGTTGCGAAGCTACCCGCAGCCTGTGCAGCGCCAGTTCGATCCCCGGCTGCTCCCCGGCCAGCGGAGGAGGATCCCACATGGCACGCAGACCTCTCCTGCCGCCCGCTGCTCCCCTCAGCAGTGTACTTCGGTCCTTCTGCCTGC